TCTCTCTCTCTCTCTTCTCTCTCTCTCTCCTCTCTCTCTCTTCTCTCTCTCTCGCTCTCTCCTCTCTCTCTCTCTCATCTCTCTCTCTCTCTCTCTCTCCTCTCACTCTCTCTCTCATCTCTCTCTCTCTCTCTCTCTCTCTCTCTCTCTCTCTCTCTCTCTCTCTCGTCTCTCTCTCTCTCTATCTATCTATCTATCTATCTATCTATCTATCTATCTATCTATCTATCTATCTATCTATCTATCTATATATATATATATATTTGATAAATATCACGATAAATAACATTCAACTGTTTGTATTTTAACATCATCCTTGTAGTTTTATAAGCTGATAATTAAACTGAAGCAAACATCTTTACTGTGAACTAAATTTACAGTTTATCTTTATTCCTTTTGCAGTCTTTTTTCATTTGATTTTTCCTACTGGAAAGTTAGAATTTCCTAGGAGAAAGCGAACGCACCATTAGCTGATAACAATCGTGGCAATGGAAGCTAACATATCAAGCTAACGTTATCTTAAACAGTTTATTTAGCTGCTGGAGCAGATTAAAACGATGATGCCTCATACTTAGATCGTTGTCACTGGTTTCATCTTCACCCGTCGCATTTAGTAAAGTGAAGCCAAACTTTAGAGCGTGTTCATGTTCTTCTAGTCGGAAATTCGGAGTTCCGAGGAGAAAGCGAACGCACCATTAGCGAAACGGAAGCTAACATATCAAGCTAACATTAAACATTTTATTTACCTACCGGAGCAGATTAAGATGAGGATGTCTCACTTAGATCGTTGTCGCTGGTTTCATCATCACCCAGTTACCCATCACATTTAGTGAAGTGAAGTGGACCCAAGCTTTAGCGTGCATTCTTTCTACCATGCTGCTCTGTTTACAACTGGCTCGCAGCGAGCGACGACATAACGCTCTTTTGCATGTGCAGCTGTCTTGGCAAGTTCTCGTTATGAAGGACGGGTACCGAAACGAGGCACCGTTTGAAATGACGTGAATCGGTGCTCGGTCAGTACTATGGAATTCGGTCGGTACCTTAAAAAGTACCGAATTAGGTACCCATCCCTATGACTGATACAAAATTTTAACCCAAGTTTTAAGTGATTTTTTTTTGTCGCTACCAGGCTGTTCCTACTGTTGTTAAAGCTGTGGGATACATGTGAGCTTCTTGAGTTGCAACTTTCTTCTGGCAGCTTGCTGAGTCCATCAGTGACAACGGATATTGAGTTCCTGCCTGCTTTTTTCTGCAGAAGATCCTTCAGGCAGAAATACAGACTCTCGCCCTTACATTTATTCTGCACTAAATATTCACATTTGCCTGGCAGCTTTAGATTTAAAGTACACTGAAGTCTGGATTTATAATGTAATGATGGATGCAGTGAGAGGCTGTTGTCTGTTGAATAGGTAGAGCAGTGAAGAGGAATGGGTCTCTTGTGATGTTCTCAGTTGTGCAAAGTTCAGAACTGCTCATTGAGTCAGAAAAAATGTGGTTTTAACTCCATTAGGGGATTGAGACTTCCTTTGGGATCTGTCAGCATTCTTTTCCTTTTTTTACTCCTGTTGTCTCTTTTTTATCTCTGTGTGAGACTGTCTTTCACTTAGCAAATGCAAATACCTATCATGGTGCAATAGTAGTCAAAGCATCAAAGTAAAACCTTCAGTTCTGGTGAGTCTGATGGGATTGCCAAAATGATTATTATTGTTAAATAAAACTCTAAGCAAACATCTGATATCTGGTTTTGTTATGGTGGAAAATTACCAGGGGCTTTCATTTGTAATCTAAACAGAACAAAATTACAATAAAGGGCTAAGTGTTCCATGGAGAAATAAAGCAATGTATTTATTAAAAAGAAAGAAAATACAACTTCATACCAAAAAAAATTTTGTCCCTGTTTTCAAAAGGATGATGAGTAACCCACTGTGCTGAAGTCTCGGGCGCTTACCTAAAATTACACAATGTTCTTTGTGGTTTCTGTGCATAATAACACTGAAGAGTTCATTGATCGATACCTTTGGCAGAAGTCATTCAGTAATTTTTGGCTCTTGAAACAATTCATTCTCTTTAGCTCAGACTTATAACAAGCAGGACACATACTGCCTAAAACCATTTCAGTAAATGGTTCGTCTGGACCTCCAGTAAAAGTCCAGGAATACTTAAATATCACAAGTCCTGTTTTCACTGACAGTTTAAAAGGTCAAACTGTAAAGAAAGACGATCAAAGTCCTAATTGGGTCTGTGCAGTCATTGGGTCTGTATCTCTACTCCAAAGCTTGTCTGCTGAACTCTGAAGCAAAGTCTTGAATGTGGTTTAATTTATTGCTCAACTTGAAGGAACTAAGATGAATAGATAATAGATATTTGTGACTAAGAGAACATGTACCATGTAAAACAACCATCTGATAAAACTATAATTAGATTGACTGTGCTAATGTTTTAGTGGGATTACCATTTATAGACTGAAGAAGATGTTGAGAAAAAATTCTTTCTGCCACTTGACCAGGATGAAAATGTTGGATTATGATCATATGAAAAGCTGCCTACCGGGTACATTTCAGGAACCAGATGCATCGTTAACAACTCAGTGAAAACGACCCATTCTTATTTTTTCTACATCATAAGGATTATCTGTTGACATGCTTTCAGATTACGTTTATGTATGAAACCATCCAGAAGCAGCTGGAATTGTAAAGAAATGAGAATATTATGTCAGAACAGTAGAGGTTTCGACAGGTGTTCAAAGAGACCATCAGTATGTTTTCCTTTAGTCTCTGGAAATATCCATCAAAACGTTGAAAATCAATAAAATGATGTCCAGTTGCTTCTGACCATATAACCATAAAAAACAGTAACATTTACTGTAATGTTTTTTTAACTAGCGACAGTCAGGAAGATGTGGTGTAAAACTACCCTGAAACGTATGCATGTACTGCCCCCTATTGGCTGGAAACTACACCCTGTAACTTTAAAGTAACACCAAATAAGTTTCCCTGCTACTCCCTCCTACTGTTTAAAAGCGAAGCTTCAACTGTCATGAACAGCCCTGTTACATGCTACTGTTGGTAGCGGTATCAACGAGCTAATGCTAACATAAACCAAACTGCCACTAAATAAACCACAAAGTAAAAAGATCCACACAATTGGACAAATATTTTATATACAAGCCCATTAGTGATCCTATAGCTCCCTCAAACTAATGCAGGCTGCACCGATGTTCACTTTGATATTAGCTCTTTGCTTCACTTCCATAGACATTACTCTCTTACTTTTACTTCCATCTGCTATGATTTTCCATTGGAGAAATGAGCTGCTAACAAACAAATGCACACACAACACACCACTCAGTGAAACGGCAGCAGGCTTCTTAATCTAGAGGATTTCTCTCTTCCTCCTTCACCAGAGGAAGTTTTAATGGAGATGAGCAGCCCTGAACCGTGTCATTTTGTATTTGCTTGTGAGTGGAAGAGACATCTGGAAGCGTGGCTGAGACTCAACTGCAGTGCAATGTAGACACGTCAGAAATACTGGCTAACATAAAAAAATCACATCTTAGCCAAAACGATGGCTGATTCTAATTCTATTGTAGTGGAGACCTTTAACTAGAAATGGGTGCCACACTGACATTTTTAGGCTTAATATTTATATTTAAAATCGGATACACAAAAATGCCTAAATAATAACTACACACATCTTCAGCTCTATTTTATCAGCAAAAAAGTTTATTTGAAGATTATTTACTCTTTAAAGTGTTTAACTCTTCCACGTTGTTTTAACAAATGATTGCAGATAAACAATAAAAGAGTCATTTGGTAAGAGTACTATATCAGATTTCATTATATGTTGTTGCATTTTTAGTATTTGCTTTCTATAAACATTGTCAGTGCTCCTTCTCTCCAGTTAATTTCACTGTTACTTTACAGACTTGTATCCTTGATATAACCCAGGTCAGCAGATGCTGTGTGCCTTTACAGGAACTGCTGAGTAATGTTTATGTCTAGAAATCACGGGGGAAACAGTAAGCAGAGCATTCTGATTTATAATTGTTAACGCTGTCAGCAGAAACAAAGTTTGGTGTTAAATAAAGGGCAAAATAGGAGATTTTTAGATAGACTCGTGCAGTGTGGTTGTTTGAGTTGCTGCACTGGAAAGCAACTGAGTAAAGGCTCAGGAGACAAAATCAGGTTTTATTGGAATGTAGATTCTAGAGATTTACATAATGGATGCTTTTTAAATAAACTGCTAGTAATTGGCTTTTATAGGATGGTTATGGTAGGAATGTGTCCAATAAAAAGGTTCCAGCAATTCAATGAGTAATATGGTGTTGCTGTGCTTAAAATAGTAAGCAAAAAGTCAGAATGTGTCTGCTATAGATGGCTGGATTTGAGTAGGCGATCCCCTCCTGAGGGATATTCCCTGTTCTATCTCCATAATAAGCAGCGACAGTTACCTTAAGTCACCCAGCACAGTTGCTACTGTGATTCCTCTCAGAAAACATTCAACTGCAACAAAAAAGCACCAGGGAGAAGTGTTATATCAGAGCAGGCGGCATGTTGGGTTGGATTGTTCTGGAAGAGATCTGCCTCAATTTGCTTGTTTTGTTTTGACAGCTTCAAGGCCAGATATTTGTTTTGTCCCCAGTCCTGCTGTGAAAGTCAAATAGTAATGTGAGTAAAAAAGGCTGGTTTGAAATTTAGTTTTCTTCACAAAGAAATATGAAGGGAAATGTGTGATGATTGGACCGGATTGGCTTGTTGATGGAAGGAGCGAGCGTCCTAAATCTGACTCCAGTGAATGATAAGTAGGACATTAAAAAACCAGCACTGGTTTGGAATACAGGTTACATGTTAAAATGTCAACATTTTCTAATTTAAATCCAGTAAGTAAAAAAAATATATATATAGTGTCAAACAGTAAAGTACTAGAAGCCAATCTCTTTATGGGACATTGGCTTCGTACAAGGTGCTTTATTTATTCTTGGTGTTTTTGTTTCCTTACAGGATGGACGACAGCGTAAGGAAAGAAAGAAAACTGTATCATTCAGCAGCATGCCTGCTGAGAAGAAGATCAGCAGTGCCAGTGACTGCATCAATGCAATGGTCGATGGCACAGAGCTGAAGAAAGTACGATCTAATTCACGTGTTTATCATCGCTACTTCCTCCTCGATGCTGACATGCAATCTTTAAGATGGGAGCCGACAAAGAAGGAGTCCGAAAAGGCAAAAATTGATGTTAAGTCCATCAAGGAGGTTCGGACGGGTAAAAATACGGACACTTTTAGAACTAACGGCACCTATGACCAGATATCAGAGGACTGTGCTTTTTCAATCATTTTTGGAGACAATTATGAGTCCCTGGACTTGGTGGCAAACACAGCAGATATAGCGAACATATGGGTAACAGGGTTGAGGTACCTGATCTCATATGGGAATCATACCTTAAATATGATTGAGAGCAGTCAGAACAACTTGCGCTCATCTTGGCTAAGTGACCTGTTTGACAAGGAAGATGTCAACAACAGCAAACAAATAGCAATATATGCTGCTGTGCAGCTTATCAAGAAACTTAACCCTGGACTTAAAAATGTGAAAATAGAACTAAAACTCAAGGAGGTTCACAAAGCTAAGGACAAAGTCAGCTCTGATGTCACAAAAGAGGAGTTTGTTGAAGTATTTCATGATCTTTGCACCAGACCAGAGATTTATTTTCTGTTTGTTCAGTTCTCCAGTAACAAGGAATTTCTTGATTCCAAGGACTTGATGATATTTCTAGAGGCGGAGCAGGGAATGGCACAGGTCAGTGAAGACACCAGCTTAGACGTCATCCAGAAGTTTGAGCCATCTAAAGAGGGGCGACTCAAGGGTTGGCTTTCCCTAGATGGGTTTTCTAATTATCTCATGTCTCCAGAGTGCCACATTTTTGACCCTGAGCAAAAATCGGTCTGCCAAGACATGAAACAGCCTTTGTCTCACTACTACATCAACGCATCCCACAATACATACCTGATAGAAGATCAGTTCAGAGGGCCCTCTGATGTGACGGGCTATATCCGTGCCCTTAAGATGGGCTGTCGCTGTGTGGAGCTGGATGTATGGGATGGGCCTGATAACGAACCTGTCATTTACACTGGCCACACTATGACCTCACAGATAGTTTTTCGCAGTGTCATTGATGTCATCAACAAGTATGCCTTTGTTGCCTCAGAGTTTCCACTGATACTGTGTTTAGAAAATCATTGTTCCTTACAGCAGCAAAAAGTCATGTTTCAGCATCTGAAGAAGATCCTTGGTGACAAGATGTATGTAGATTCTCCAAAACCTGAGGACTGTTACCTGCCATCTCCCTCTGAAATGAAGGGAAAGATCCTACTGAAGGGTAAGAAACTGGACACAAACTGCAGCAATTCAGAGGGAGAGGTGACCGATGAAGATGAGGGTGCAGAGATGTCTCAGAAGATGAGTATCGAATCTACAGAACAGCAGACAATTGCACACAAAAAATTCCAGCTTCTTAAGGATCTCTCTGATCTTGTGACATTGTGCAAGTCCATAGAGTTCAAAGACTTCCCTACATCTTTCCAGAACCAGAAACCCTGGGAACTTTGCTCTTTCAATGAGGTCTTTGCTTCTCGCTGTGCCTGTGACTTCCCGGGTGATTTTGTTAACTACAACAAAAAGTTTTTGGCACGAGTTTACCCGAGTCCAATGCGGATCGACTCTAGCAACATGAACCCACAAGATTTCTGGAAGTGCGGCTGCCAGATTGTAGCAATGAACTACCAGACTCCCGGCCTGATGATGGATTTAAACATTGGTTGGTTCCGTCAAAATGGTAACTGTGGATATGTGCTTCGTCCTGCCATCATGAGGGAGCAGGTCTCATATTTCAGTGCCAACACAAAAGATTCAGTGCCAGGTGTTTCTCCACAACTCTTGCACATCAAAATAATCAGTGGGCAAAATTTCCCCAAACCCAAAGGCTCAGGTGCCAAAGGAGACGTGGTGGATCCCTATATGTATGTGGAAATACACGGCATTCCTGCAGACTGTGCTGAACAAAGGACTAAAACGGTTCACCAAAATGGAGACAATCCCTTGTTTGATGAGAGCTTTGAGTTTCAAATTAACCTCCCTGAACTGGCAATGGTGCGCTTTGTGGTGCTAGACGACGACTTTATTGGTGATGAATTCATTGGCCAGTATACGATACCTTTTGAGTGTCTGCAACCAGGTTTTCGTCACGTACCTCTGCAGTCTCTGACTGGAGAGGTTTTGCCAAATACCCTGTTGTTTGTTCATGTGGCCATAACCAATCGAAGAGGAGGTGGCAAACCACACAAAAGGGGGCTATCTGTACGAAAAGGCAAAAAGTGTAGAGAGTATGCCAGCATGAGAGTGCTTCAGATCAAAGCTGTTGATGATGTCTTTAAAACAGCCCTGCTTCCACTGAGGGAAGGAACAGACCTCAGAGAAAACATGCAGGTGAGCCACCAAACTACTAAATAAGTCTTTGACTTTACTCCTGACCCTAGCAATATACTTTTCATGTATTGATATAAGAAGGCAGATAAGCAACATTTTCTAGTAAAACTTTGAACAGTCATTGGTTACGTTTCTCTAGAGAGCAGTGGTTCCCAAAATTACAGGGGGTCCACACAATTTTGTTTGTGCTGTGGCTGTGAGGTTAGCAATATTTTATTTGTTATTAAGTCCCAATAACATACCCCAAAGCAGTGAACCTCAACTGGTGGCCAGTGGGCCACATCCGCCCCGCCAGACCTTTCCACCTGGCCCCCCAACCCTTTGTGCCCTAATGCAATATTTTTCAAGGACTGGACATCATTTTATTAATTTTCAACATTTCATTGGATATTTCCAGAGATTAAAGATAAAACTACACACTTTCATGTGTGTATGCATGAATGGGTTCGGGGTCCTGGCTTGTCTTGGACATGGGCAAAACATTTGGGAAACACTGCTCTAGAGTTAGAACTACTCAGAAGATGACCACATCGGCACACTTTTCTTTAGGTTGACACTTATGTTGTGTTTTCTCTTAGCATTTGGGGACAGGAACTGCAACTTACTCATTAGACCAATAAACTAATAAGATAGTAATTTATTGCATAGTTATACTAGTGTAAATATTTGTTGACCTCATTTTTTTTATCAGCCAAAACATCACTTGAACAAGTAGTCCAGCTGTGAAAACATAAAGTCTTCATGTACTTTCGTGCTTACGTTTTGCCCAACTAATAAATCCCCAACTTTTTTTTCACATTCTGATAAAATTCTGATGAATAGCACTACATTTATTCATCCAATTTAATGAGCCACAGACATTTCCATTACTGACTAAGCAGATTGGAACACTTGGTGGTAATGCATAAAATATCACATCAGGACATTTTGTTTTTACCGTGAAATCGAAATTTTATCACAATTATTAGGCAATTGTCAATTTTACACACAAATTCAGTCCAACAGAAAGACAAATGAAACTGAGGGCAGTAAATGGTACCAGAACACACGTTGGTTACAAAATAATGCTCACGTGCTTTTCTCTGAATACGAAGACTGAATGAAATGTACTTTGGGTTGTAAGTAAAAACTCTTCATAGAAACGGACCACCAGTCTTGACTCGTTTAGTTTTTGGGTGAACAAAACAGTTTGACAAGTTTTATAATTAGACTCATTTTAATTCTCCAGATTTGATCTTTGCACATATTTATATTTACACATTCATGTCAGCCTGTTAAGGAACTTATAAAACTGGATGAGGTCACACCAGGCTGGTTGGCTTTATATAGTGTTTCTATATTCTGTATCAGAAATAACAAGCTCGTAGCCTTGAGACTAAAACAATCTTGATTGCACTGTCACAGTTTGTCCCTGTGGTTGTTTATGTTGGGTTTAAATTTGGCCTTTCACAGGAAGTTTAGGATTTGTGGATGTGTGTTTCATTTCCACTTGATGTTTATGTCAGTGCAAAAGGATGCTGTGCTTATGAGCAGCTAACAAATGCCAAAATGAAAGTTCTCACAGCAGATGACAGCTTCCAGCCTTTTCTTATGAGAGAGGTGATCTCTGGAGGTCTAGTTAGGTTTTTATCACAACCCAGTGACACAATTGTGGGTACCATGGAAAAGGTGTTTCCTCTAGTTGTTTTAGTGTAGTTGATTAATATATTTGCTTGGCATTTAATTGGAAACTAGATACATATCTGGCAAGCACACATTCAGTTTCTCTCCTTTCCTGCAGAATGCCATAGTGTCCTTTAAAGAGCTGTGTGGCCTTTCAGCGGTGGCTAACCTGAAGCAGTGCATCTTGGCTCTTTCCCCTCGGCTGACCGGACCTGACAACAACCCCCTTCTGCTGTTCAGCCTCACTGATCAGTATCCTAATTTAGAGCCCCAAGGTTTGCTACCAGAGGTCCTCAAGAAAGTCACCAGCACTTACGACATGGTGAGTAGTGAGCAGGAAAGTGTGTAATGTTTAAATATTTGTGCTTTTCATTTTTTGTAATCATTCTGTAGAATTCAGTTCACAGAAAGAAAAAACAAACAAACTGTAATGTCAGGAATGTTGCTTGTTCATAAATGGATTTTTCCAATAACTAGTTTAGATTTAGCCCAGAAGGCTAGCTCTGACTTCAATTAGATCAATATCTTGACTTTACCTAATATAGTGGACACACACAGAGACTGTTGGGTAATGAAATCAATGATCACAAGTTATGCAATATGCCATGGAGGTTATTCCCAACAAAATCATTACATTTAACTCGACATGTTCTGCTGGGTCGGCACAATGTCAACTACAGCATCAGGATGCATCAAAGCCAAACATGTTTAAAGAACCTTTCAAGTTTTTAGGTTTAACTTTTGTTCTCATGCTTTACACCTCAGTTCCGCTGTGTACATGACCTAATGTTCTGAGGAACTTAGTAAGCCTAGAAATAGACTGTATTATGTCTCCGCATGAGTATTATGGCTGACTTGCTTATTTTACGTCAGTGTTGAACTTTATTTGGACAGAAATTATTGCTGTTTGTGACTAAATGTAATATGTGTGACGTTTGGACCCACTGAGTGGGCTAAAGACACCAGATGCCCAAATACATTAATTTCTAATGTTTATAGACAGTTATAGCATTTATATGCACACTGCAGCTAATTTTTGTGCTGGATGTCATCATCAAGCCATTTCTAGCTGAGAGACTGGGTAGACCTATCAGGAACTACTCTGGAGTGATTCTCCTCTTATTTGTCTGAGTGTTCCTTCTCTGTGGCTGTCTCAAATTCGGCTCTCCACCACATCCCTCACTCATGGTGTCCCACAAGGTACTGTGCTGAGGCCTCTACTCTTCCTCCTCTATCTGCTTCCTCTTCAGCACATCCTAAGCTTTTTTTTAAAAGAAATCTACCATCTTTATGCAGATGACATCCAATTGTACATCTCCTTTAAGCCCCATGAGATGTCTAAGCTTCAGCTGTTAGATGGCTGGGAACTTTCTACAGCTAAATGAAGATAAGACTGACGTTTTGTGAGGATCTCAGTGCCCCTTGATAACAGCTAGAGTACCCAGGAAAGGCTAAAACAAGTAAATTTGACCAGACTAATAAATGATATAAAGAGGATGGTGATGTTGAGATGAACATGGTTTCAGTAACATGAAGACTATAGAAATGTCAACTAGCTGACAGTCATTACATGTGACCCAACTTGTGTTTTTTATTAAATAGAGAAATGGGCTAAAAAAGGAAACTTGCTGCACCATTATAGTTATCTGTGCTATTTTTATGGCACTCCCAATTCCCTTGGGACTCACATAATTCAGGAGAAGCTAAAATGACTGCGATGCAGACTGATTAAGATGACCCCTCTGCCTTTCAGATGTAAGACTGGAGGGCTGTATTTCACTCTTATGGAAAGAATACCTTGACAGGAAACGGGAACAGGATTAGTCTAGGTAGTGTGAATTTGGTCACCAAAGCACCACAGTAACCCAACATCTCTTTTACTCCTGATACCTAGACATAAATGTGGGTCTGAATGGTGCAGGTTCGGTAAACCACCACCATGAGTGCATTTCCACTTGATCTGAGTTCATATTTAACACAAAGTCCCATTTACACATAGAACCAAAATGCTAAACATCACCCAGAAAGAAAGAGAGTATTCTGTCTTTGTGACGTGCTTGTAATTGCAATAAGAGCACCAACCATAGCACTTAAAAAGTCGTTTTTGGTGTGCTAATCAGGCACCGTCTGGGTATTTATCTGCCACCAAGACAGCAATTTCTTCATCCATCACAAAGGTAATCACAGCATGTGAGGCAAGAGTTTAAGTGCTGCTATTGCAGCTGCAGAATGACTAACAGCTACAAGCACTTAGTTATTATTGCTTACAGAAGAACCACGTGATTCATGTATTTGGATTGTGCAACTGTCTGCCCCGAACTCAGGAACCAATAACAAGGTCCACATACATTTTGGTTTGTTAGAAAAGTCAAACAAGAAAGATAATATCATGCAAAATCCACTTTTTGATGCTTGTAACCACGTTATATTGTTATTTCTTCAATGAAAATGAAAAATCTCATGGGGCATGTTTGCGCCATCATACGTGCTCCTTCCCATCAAGGTAATGATGAATCCGCGTCCCTCTTCCTCTGGACTGTAAACACTAACACCCGCTCTCTCTGAGTAGCTAGCTCAGCAATCACTAAGTGGACGTGTCGGTCATTGGAAAATGTCCCGGTGCTACCCATGTGAAATCTGCTTTACTGGGGATTTAATGTTATGTTATGTAATGGGTGGAATTCACATGCGTGGAGGTGAGATTTCATCAAATCCAAGCACCTTATTTACAGTTAGAGGTATAGGCTCACAAAAATTATACATTTAGTAAAAAATTACATCTTAAATTTCTCTGTTGTAATATTTTATCATATACTGTGCATATTGTTGCTCTGGAAGGTGTAAAATAGCATCCATCCATACTTTGTTTATAAAGCACATTTAAAACACAACATGGCCGCTGTACAGTCGAGGCAAGGAGATCATAAAAGCCAGGGTAATCTAAACGTGGCTGTTAAAAAACAGAGACAACAACAGACAATCAAACGCTCAGTCAAAAGAATAAAAACAGCCCAAGGGTTTAAAGTTTGTAAAAAGGAGAAGCTAAGAACAAAGGAAGGCACAATCCGTCGCTAGGTCCTGCCTTTAAGATTTATTTTTACACTGGCTCTTAGTGAAAATCTTCCCTAAATAAACTTAAATTATTACACATATAAAATAACTTGCCAACTTAAATAAACACAGGAAGAAATGTTTCAATGATCCTTAAATCACACCTTTAGTGTTTCTCACAGCTCGAGGGCTATCAAGTCCTAACTTGATGTGCTTTATGAAATCTAAATCTTTCTTAGCATTCTTAAATAGGAACTCAATTATATAATTAGTTGCATTGGCGTGCTTTTATCATTTTATTTACGTTCAACCACTTGACATAAATCTGCATGTAGCACTAACCCGGACCCCAACCATTCCGGTTTTCTCTGAGTCCCCAGCAGTGTTGGAGCAGCAGTAGAAGCTGTTTTCTCAGGGAACGTTGCCTCATTGTACAGTGAGGGGAAGGACAGAGGGAGCTGCGTTGTGACAGATCCTGCTACAGGAAGATGAACTGTGCAATCTACGCTTGATGGGACAAGCAAAACTATCATTTGGTGTAATAACAGTTCTTATGAAACAAAGTGAATTGCGCTCAGGTGTTTAGATTAAACAAAACATTGAGAATTGTTTTATTAGTTAATCATGTTTCTTAATAAGTGGGTTTAGCCAAATTGTTTCTAAACATCAACAGAACATTTGGATCAAAATACCGCTTCACCGCTCTGTCAAGAGCTGATGAAGCTTTTAAGGGTTTCCTGCAATTGCTGCTGAGAAGGAGGGACCCAGATGGTCTGGCAGAGCTACGTGTTAGTTCTGTGATACATTTTTTTTATTTTTTTTTTTACCTTCGTTATTAGCATCCTCTGAGTCCATCATTACACTTTTGAAACAACAATCTAGTTTAAACCTGTTTTCGTTGCTGCAGAGTTTGAGCATGTTTATGAAAAAGTGTTTGGTGTCTAAAAAAGTATCACCAGGAGAGTTCAGACGCTCTGCAGGTCAGCAGAGTTTGTGCTCTCCATCAGGGCGAAGCATAGCAGCAGAGGAGCTAAACTTAGCATTGTTCACAGCTGCAATGTCACGGATAGCATGCTAATTATCTGCTGCAAAGTGAGATGTTTACATCAGATGATCCTGATAATCAGCAGCTTCATTTAAAGCCAAGTGGAGGGACGACCCCACACAGTTTCCTCTTTAAATGAGACATACTGGTAATGGAAAAGGAGCACAGCCTTTAATAAAGAAAACTTAATTACTTCTAGCTGCTTTTCTCTAATTTTGGTTTAGAACGATGCAGCTCAGTGGCCTCGCCCACAGACATCCCTGGAATAACAGCTTGTTTTGTCGACGCTCCCTGGATACCAAACAGCAACCAGATGGACGCTGCTTCCCGTTTCATTGCAAAACGAAAAGGCGAAGACGGGATTGACAAAATTATGTTGTTTTGTTTTTTCAGGTGATCCAGACAAGCAAAACCCTGCTGGAGAGCTGCGATAGCGTCTATGACAGAATTCTGCAAACTCAAAAAGCAGGTAAGCATTTTTCATCCATTCATCAGCCACTAAACACAACTTGCTCAATATGAACCATATCTGCACAACTGTAAAACTCGGAACAATGATTTTATTTCCATCCAAGCTGTATGTCGATGAGTGTGTGCACCCAGCGTGGTTATGCAGAAACTGGGTCAGATCAAACCAGACACTTAAAGCCCAAAAAACTCTTTCAGAATCAACTGCTATAAAGTTCAGAATAATCCTCCACATCAGCTCAGGAAGCCTCGCCCCTCACTGCCACCGTTCTACACAAGAAATGATAAACACAAATACATCTACGAAGGCAGTGTCAGCTCTGCCTGGTTGTGTCACTTCCCTTAAGAGACTCTCATAGCTTCCACGAAGCTTTCACGTAGCATCTGGATGCTAAATGGGCTGCAGATTTAAACAGTCAGCCCACAAGGTGTTTCTAAATGTCACGTGTTCCGTGCAGAATGCAAAAACAGCATTAGTAACAAATAAATAATCACAAAATCAAACAAAAGTTAATGTTGTTTCATGTATGGTTCTATATTTAAACAAAATAGAAAACAATGAACTTGTGTGATCTTAATCAGCTCCGGTTCTCTTTAGAGCTTCCATATTCCCGGTTCTGTAACACGTCCGTTACCTCGAATCCCCGTGTTTTTTCCTCCTCCTCGACTTCTCCGCTCCAATTTCAGCTGGATGGAACCAAAGTTAAAGAGGGAGGAACCACGTCGAGGTGTACAGAAGGAGATCCAAAAAGAAGTCTGATTTTAGGAACATTTTGTCCTGGATCCTCAGGCAGCAGAAGAATTTGCTAACGTCATCATTTTTGACCTGCTCCTGATTTTTGCACATTTCTTTCTACCTGACAAGCAACGAGTTATTAAAGGAAAGCAGCTTCTTGTGCTTGTATCCAATACAGACTCGGAATATCAGGTAGGGATGGGAGGTATTACGATGGTGATATGGTGATTAATCTCCTCTCCAGAACTCTTTCTCTGATTCCTAGTTTGGGTGTTAAATTCCACGGAACTTCCTGTTCCTGAGCTTTGGGATCATGGCTGAACTGACTTGTGACTTGAGTTGTCCCAACACATCCTGGTCATTGATCCAAACCTAACGGCGGATATCGCTCTAAAAAGAAATCTGCTAATTTAAGACGAACAATTGTTGCAATTTTTTATGGTTTAATGTAGACATTTACTAACAAGTAACAAGAAATTCAACTGGCGAGTTTCCTTTAAATAACCAGAGACTCTAATGTAAAAGCCATGAATTCACTTTAAAATAAAACCTGTCTCTTCTAACGGAGGCGGGCTAAGATGTTAATCATTTCCAAACTTTCCACAGAAACCCACTTCAACAGATCTGAAACCTTCATTCCAAATGAAAGAGAAGGAAACGGCAGCTCGGCTCATTATTAATCAATGTTTGATGCTTTCTTTGCCAAAACCACGTTTGATCACATCTGCAGCAGTGCGTTTGGGTTTGATGAAGCACAGTAATCTCTTAAGGAATTAGTAATTAACCTAATGAGATGTGTAGGTCTCGCCCCGATACGATCCAACAACCTGATTCTGCAGCCAGGAGTCTGCACTGATACGGTGGCATTCTCATCAGAGTCCATCTGCAATGCCTTGCTGAGAGTGTTTCCCCATTTCTACCCTTCCAGACTACATTCAGTGTTGCTAGGCAACCGCCACTGTGTGTGTGTGTATGTGTGTGTTTGAGAGAAACAGAGGAAGCCATGCACCTTCCTCATGATGGTTCATGGTTCCTGTGCACAGCAGCTGTAGTCAGAGCTGAAAGCTGAAATTGAAAGTGACAGAATGGTAGTGAGGTTAGAGCAGGAAACGGGCTAAAACAAAAGTTCAGGATTTACTAAAATCACTCGGATGGCAGCGGTCGTTGGGTTTCCTTCAGCTGGAATGCACTAAAGCAACCAACCCTACAGCTAGGTTATTTAACACAACAGGGTTCTCTCTCTATCTTTCATACACGTGGATACATGCTTGTTTCCATGGCAATGGCACTGACGGGCTCTACAACCTGCTCAGGCTGATATCTGTGCCTGGAGCGGAAATGTGTGTGTTCTCAGAGGGAATTTCCACGCAGAGCCGTGCTACGGCTTTGTGATTGGTTCAGTCTGAGCTCTGGTTCAGGTTCCTGCTGCAGCGCCGTAGCATGAACTCCACATGAAACACGTCCTCGCGCTACCTCGGGACATGCAGAGGGGACAGAAGATGCTCGTCCTTCCTGACTGCTTCCTTCAGGAGTTTTGTTTCTCATTCACGTTACACACAGGGATGTTTCGAGTAAAATAATGACCAACCTGAACGGCATCTTTCAAAGCAGTTTGCACTCATCTTAATGCCATTCTATGCAACATTTTCATATTTTAAATCATTTTCTTGAGCCAGTATGTGCTAAAATGTCCCTTTACAGAGTTAATGACTTGTCACTCAAACCCCCACCGCCCCCTATGTGGCCAGAATACCGCATTTGCAACTTCAGCCTGGGGCGGGCCGCTTTGTTGGGACTTAGAAAAGACTGAGCTGACATACCTGGTTCCAGCACGTTTCCTGCATGATCGTGAACACAGCTGATTAGTTTAATGTAGTGATTGGCTGGGAGACGTTTCACTGTTGGATGAACGCACAGAGAGGACATTGGTTTTGGTTTGACCACAGAAAATTAATAACGGACACTAAGGGGTGCTAAAAGCAAGCAAACTGCCAAGTGTGCCTTTAAACTGACTCAGTCTTCAGACTTTCACAGCTGTTTGTGCTCATCGTTAATAAACATTTGCTGTTATTTTATCAGATATTTAAGGAGATTCTTGCGACACTTGATGCAGCAGTTGTCTGAGCGTAGGCTGACCATCTGTAAGTAAATAAATATAATCTGCACTCAGAAACACACATTAAAATTAGATCATGGGCTTTCCTTCTTTAGATCCATCCATACTGTTGTTGTCTCAGTGGTTCAGCTTGCAGTGGTCTGCTGGGGTGCAGGCAGCTCTGAGACTGAACTAGCTATTATTGAAGCTAGCTCGGTCCTGGGCTGGCCACCTTTTGAGAAGGTTACATTTATAGCCTCCTGTCCGTGTGTCTCTATGTGCACGTGCTGCCTTAACATTGGGATTTCCCCACAGGGGGATTAATATTGTTAGTTTGTTCGTTCGTTTGTTCATTCATTCATTAATTCACTAACTAAACTTCAAATCTTCACATCAAACTAAACAAATATAGAAAACTGCAGGAATTCCTCCTAGGAACCGGACCTGTTATCTCTGATCCAGAAAGAAGCCCGCTCCCACAGTCTGGGAATTTCAACACACACACACGCGCGCACGCACGCACGCACACACGCACACACTGCTGCTGTAGAATGTGAAATGTTGACAGTACCACAAGGATCTCTTCTTTGATGTGTTTCCTCACCATGACAACAAGTCTGACTCCCCGTCTCAGACTCCCATCAGCGAGCAGCTCCTCTCCCTGTGAGCCCCAGCCAGAGTCCCGCCTGACCTCCTGTTCTCACCTCTCTCGCCCACAGCCATGGAGTTTCATGAGAACCTGCACGACTTGTCTGTGAAGGAGGGCTTGAAGGGCCGGAAGCTGCAAAAGGCGGTGGAGAGCTTCACCTGGAACATCACCATCCTGAAGGTGAGACGCTGTTGGAGAATAAAACTACTGTGTTTTTGACGTTTTTCCTGCAGACATTTTTATTTGCTGTTTTCATAGTTATGAATTGATTTCTAGACGTTCAGGGTTTAAAAAATACCCTCATCTAATGATGGTGGCTTATTAAATCGTGTTGCTGCTCTTATTTTGTCAAACCGGTTTTGCAGATTAACGTGTTTTTTTCTTCTAGTGAAATTGGAGACCTCATCAGATGATAGTCAGTTTTTCTTCTGATGTATTCATTCCCTAATTAAAATGTTCTTCATATTTGTTTCTGTTGGTCTGATAACCAAAACATCAGCATTAGGACATGCCGACCTTTTAGACTAAAAATAAGAAAAAGACAAGTATTACTTGCATCTTTGCAAAAAAGTGATTAAAATGAGACAGGATGGCACAATAAATCAAAAGTTTATCATCATCTCACAATATCAGTGTTCTAGAATGGCAGCAGTAGCTCATATTTTCTACATTTCCATTTCGTCTATATTAAAATGATCCCAATTTCAGGCTGTTCTAGTATCGTTACTTCCTCAAATGAGATAGCTGTTTGAACACAAGGCTTTCAAAGATAAAATAACGTAAGAGAACCTTCAGGTTCATGCAAGAGGGCTTCGGTTAAACATCCGACTCAAGTCTGATTGTAGCACTGAAACATGTTGCGTCTATTTCTGTCTAATTGCACTAAAAGAACTCTCAGGTTATTACAAAAAATGTTCATCCACTAGTAATGCATCCCCCTCCTAACCAGTAGGTGGTGCTGCAGCGAACATTATACATCTGCAGGAACGGCAGCAGAGAAGAGTTTTTTTTAAATTTTTTTTAACTAAACTCTAAAATACAAAATGTTACTAAAGTTGAGACTTTTTCGGTCACAGCAAAGTGATTTCTGGTATAGCTACCAGATCTGCTCCGGGCCCGGCACCTGGTAGTGATGTCACAATACACGATTGGCTAGATGTTGGCACGATGACGCAAAAGATTCTGGTTTATCCAGACAAATTGTGAGAGTTACGTTAGCACACAACATGCTCAGTTAAGCCTAATTTATGTTCCTCTGTCAGCTCCATGAGGGAGAGACGCACACGTGTTGTCAGACGTTTTGCTTTCAGACTTCTCCGTCAGCTGGGGATTGTTGCGAAGCAATTCCCCGCCTGGACAACAGAGGGTGGAGTGCTATTCTGAGGTATCCTGCCACCATTACAGTCACGGATCCGGTCCACAATAGTGTATTTACTATTGTGTTTACATTGTTTTAATGTATTTCAGAGACTTTTTATCATGGACAAATTAGTCGCTCATTCCCCTCCACCTGTTCGTGCGATCGGCACCTCTAAACCCACGTTTCTCGTCTTTTCCGCCCACGAATAAAACACTAGCTGCATATCTTTTTTACTCCTTCAGTCACGGATGAACAAACATTCACATTTTCAGACTTTTTCCGAAATGCATTCTTCATTTTGTTTCATGATTGCCACAAAATATTTCTTTACTTTTTGAGGCGGCAAAGACGATGATGCTGATGAATGAAAACAGGAAGCAGTGTCCTGACCAATCACTTTCTTGCGGCCTCCGTCTCTTTTGGCGGATGGTTAAAATTTGGGGCATGTCTCCGTCTTCCTCCGCTAGCCAGTCAAGGGCTCTTGCGTCGACGCATAACGGCATTGCGTGTGTCCGTTCCGACGCAGACGGAGGATTATAAATTAGGCTTTAGCCTGTTCTGCTTGGGGTTGTAGTTCTTTGTAGGCAGTGTTGGGGAGAATACTTGTATAAATGTATTTAGTTACAGAATACTGAATACCTGCTGTAAAATGTATTTCGTAACGTATTCTGACACTTTGCTTAATCCTGGTACTGTAAATACTTGGAATACTTCCCCTTAAAACAGCATTTAAGTCTAATAAAAGTGTTGGTAGCTACTCTACTACAGGACAACAGAGGGCATATTATAGCTAAACATTATTTAGTGACTGGGAAAAAGAAATAAAACAATTTCACATCTGCTGCCAGTCCAATCCCAGTGCTCTATCTGTTTGGTGGGCCAGTCACAGCACTCTGTTGGTGGTCGGCATATTATTGAAAAACAAGTAAGGCTCAAAACGGCTTGGACATTAACTTTGGACTGTTTAGACTCTGACTTTTCTTTGAGTCAAGAGCAGATAGAGGTTCCGAAGTTTAGAAAAAGATGTATTTGCATCTGCCTTTATGGAGTATGGCGGACTGCCTCGTTGACTGACATCCATAGTGGTGAGTGCGTCACGCTGTTTGTTGTCCAATAGCATGTGGCGACAGTTTTGAAGACAACCGTAGATGCCGACCCATGACTGAGAGCCGTCAATGAACGGTGGCCCGACTATGTTCACATAAATAGGATTGCTTGCTAGGCTAAGAAAACACAAGTATTCCAATAGTATTATGAAAGTAACTATTTTAAATACCATGTTTAAAAATAGTAACTGTAACAGAATACAGTTACTCATAATTAGTATTCTAAATAAGTAACGGCGGTACATGTAACCTCTCCATTGGCCGTGCTGTATAAGAAACCTTCATAAACTTGGAACATTAAATACACAAATAACTTGCCGTAGGACTGGTGCTGGTGCGTCCCTCCTGAAGTTCTGCTGAAATTGACAGAATACAGTTACTCATAATTAGTATTCTAAATAAGTAACGGCGGTACATGTAACCTCTCCATTGGCCGTGCTGTATAAGAAACCTTCATAAACTTGGAACATTAAATACACAAATAACTTGCCGTAGAACTTGGAACATTAAATACACAAATAACTTGCCGTAGGACTGGTGCTGGTGCGTCCCTCCTGAAGTTCTGCTGAAATTGCTCTAATGTGTTTTGCTCCTCAGGGCCAGGCAGACCTACTGAAACATGCCAGGAGTGAAGTCCAGGAGAACCTGAAGCAGATCCACTACGCAGCTCTCACCTGTAACCTGAGTAAAGGAGGAGCAGGGGGCGGCTCCGCCGAGGCTAGGAGCAGACGCAGCCTGGAGGCCATCCCGGAAAAGGCCCTGGCGGAGGAGGAGCTCACCGACGAGGACGGCTAGAGCTCCCGGTGCTTAACTATGTTCTCAAACTCCAGAGTTCTTCTGTCCATCGATTCGTTGTTCTTCATCTTTGGCTGGGAGCCATTGCTCCACATTCCATCACAGACATTCCTGAACCCAAAGCACATTTTAGCCAGTACGACACCCGACTTCTCCAGGCTGAAGCTCAGAGATCTAAGGACCTGCATCACCTCCAAGGCTTCACCGTTCCCAAACACGAAATGAGGATGAAACTGTTCCCGTTGCTCCTGTCTCCTCGGGATGTGCGGAGTGAACTGTGGCCGTGAGACTTCCACTCAGAGGAGCAGCCTTCTCCAGGCTGAAAGGACTCGGATTGATGCAGAGGATGTTTTCAAAAAGCACAATTTTCTGAGCTATGAATGTAACGGGACTCATGATTAGGAACAAAAATCCTGGAGCTGTTTACTAAACCGGACGCATTCATGTTCTCTGCCAAAATGACCCAATCTTCTGTGTAAATATAGACTTCCTGTTACCTTTTATCTGCAGCGTGCGTCAGTTTAATAATGTATACTTGGAAATATGAGATTTATTTTATAAAAGATATATGAACATGTCTGTGGTGAAGAAATTTTATTTGTGTGGAGACCGGCTCGGACTTCCAATATGAGGGAATGTTTTTATCCATAAAGTCTCAGTATTCCCAACCAGCAGCTGCAGGGAGAAGATCGGGGAAGGGGTGATGACACGTTTTGATGAGAAATGTTCCTCGTTTATTTCCTTTTTTTTTTTTCTGAGGCGATTTTCACCAAAGTCAGTTCTGTTGGAGCTTTTCTACTGTAAACAGGGTTTCTGGGTCCTAACCAACGTGTTTGTTTACTCCGGATTTTACTGAACTTAACAAGAAACTGGTTTGATTCATTTGAAGGAAATGTTTTGTTTAGATTTTGTTTATTAAAAACATCATGCCATTTTGTGTTTAAACATAGTCATGTGATCGTCTGACGTGTTTGGATACTAGGAGCTGTTGGAGTGGTTTGGAGGAAATGCTGCCTTTCTGATCAAAGCAACACATTTTTATCAAATTTAACTGGCAAAGTTAAAGAAAAATGTCACGTTTCAGCTTTTAATTTGGCAAATAATAAAGTATCTCAAACATTTGTCTGGCTGTCCCTGAACTTTTATTAGCCTCACAGCACAAAATAACATGAGTCAATATTAAAGAAATCTTTTTAGGTCTTTTTTAAAAAAAGTTTAGTGTGTGTATGTATATGTATATATATCTATATCTACATATATCTATATATAGAGAGAGAGCTCCGGGAGTTGACGTCACTTCTCCCGGCATGCAACAGTTCAAATCGAAACGGCGCCATTTGGCAGGCAGAAGCCGGCAGCTGGACTATTTGTTATTGTCAGAAAACTCAATCAAACGGGAAATATGGTAGATTCCTGTTGTGCCCCAGGATGCAGAACAGACGCCATAAGGAATGAACCATCTACAGGATTCCCCAAGATCCGGAGCGCCGCAAACGTTGGATCGTTGTAATAAAACGCACTAGTGACCGGGCGAAAATGAAACTGTGGGATCCCGAGAGTAAAGGTTTTCACTTATGCAGCGACCGCTTCATATCAGGTACTTAAACCAACGTTTCCTCAGCTGTGTATGGTTTTTGTTTTAAATGCTTTTATTATGATTCTTAGTGGGCTTCCTAAACTTATTTTGGCGTGGCTTTTTCTGTCTTATTACTCATAGCAACAAGTAAACATCACGTAAACGTTGCCTCGTGAGTTCTGCGTGCTGACGTTTCCGTGTTTTATGATCACAGCAATTAACCGGCTAAGCTGTATTTAATTTTTAAGCAATGGTTGATCAATTGTCAGATCACACATAAAAAGCACTTTGGATTGCTATTATCTGTCTCACCGAGACTACTTACGTGTAAATCTGTTATTTGTCCGTCCATCCATCCATTTTCATCCGCGTATCTGGAGTCGGGTTGCGGGGGCAGTAGCGTGACTTCCCTCTCCCCAGCCGCCGGAGCCAGCTCCTCCGGGTAAATCCCAAGGGGTTCCCCGGTCAGGTCCGGTGTTGTGCCGGTAAGAAGCCCGCTCCGACAGCTTCTGGCGTTGGAGCGGGCAGTAGAGTCGAGAGTCCCAGACCTCTCCCCAGCTCCTTGGGATTCCCCCGGCCAGGTCCGGTGTTGTGCTGGTAAGAAGTCCGCTCCGACAGCTTCTGGCGTTTTTAAAAAGTATCCCAGGGGCACGGTAAGGGTCGGAGATGTTTAGTCCATTTAATTTCTGACTATATAAAACGATTTCTTCTGTTTTAAAGTGTGAAGTAAACTCCAACGAAGTAAAATCCAAGCGGATCCCGTTCATGTTCATGGTTACATCCGTGTTTGTTTACCTTTTTTGCATGCCAAAATGGCGTCCACTAACTGAGAGTCACGTGGGGTCCGGAGCTATATATATATATATATATATAGATAGATAGATAGATATAGATTTATAGATATACAGATATAGATATATATATTAGCTCCGTTTCTTTATTTTTCTATTTTATTTTGCAAGAAATTTTCTTAAAAATGCTCCAAAGCTGTAAAGCTGCACAAGAAAACGCACTCACTCCCATGTCAGGAGGTTTAAGATTTTTGGCATCTGTCTGATCGATCCCAGTGGCTGCCTGGTGGGATCTGAGTCCATGGGCTCTGTTGGGTCCCCGGCGGGGCTGGTCGCCACTGGGTCCCGGGTCGCTGGGTTCCGGGCTCGGCCAGCTTGGGGGTGGGAGGCTGCGGGCGGACCTGTGGGCTTGCCGCTGATATCTCCCGGGACTCTGCCGGCTGCTGGTTGTGACCCCCCAGGGCAATCCTCTGCGCCTCTCGAGAAGGGGCAGGGGCTTTTCTGGTCCCGGTCTCCTTGGGGTCCCTGCGCTCTGGGGCAGCTCCTGGATCTCTGGGTCTTGGAGCTCCCTCTGTCTCCTGCACATCTTTGGGGGGCAGATCTGTGGCCCCTCACATTCTTTATTGGACGCTCCAGGTGCTCATATGGTGCTCTCATATATGGATTTGGGCCCATTCAACACACGTCTTAAGGCCGTGGCTGGCACTAAATGCACTGTGATTTATTACCGTGTGATTGTTCAGTAAAACAATGTTGATTTTATATTTCCATCAGGTAGACACAGTGATAACGTGATAGCTTGCTCTTGTTGTATTGTTCTGTGTCCCTTTTTTTGGTTTGTTTGTTTGTTTTTCTCCTTCTACAGGTCTAGATGCAGACTCTTGTTAATCATTGTTTATTTTTGTGGACCCCTTCCAGTCTCTTCCTTTCTCTTTCACCTCTGTCTCCATGTCTGGTCGGAATTATAAAGCATCCAATCAACAATAACAATAAAGTTTTAAGTTTCAGGGGTGACATTGAAGCAGAAGCTTTGATGTTCCACCTGAGAGTAAATCTGTAAGGCTTGTCACCAGCATTCAGACATTAATTCTGTTTGCTTCACAGCCAGACAGCACACGGGGGAAAAGAGCAAAAGAGAAAAAAATGCACTTATTTAACATTTTTTAAGCCCAAATCTAATTTAGATTATTTTAAATTAAAATTATTTTGCAGCAAGTAAGAAAAATGCAGATTTTTGTTTTCATCCATCCATTTCTGGCTGCTTGTCCAAAGTCGGGTCGCGGGGGCAGCAGCCTAAGCAGGGAGGCCCAGACTTTCCTCTCCCCAGCCACTTGGACCACCTCCTCCGGGGGAATCCTAAGGCGTTCCCTGACCAGCCATGAGGTATAATCTCTCCAGCATGTCCTGGGTCTTCCTTTAGGCCTTCTTCCAGTTGGACGTGCCCGGAAAACCTCACCAGGGAGGTGTCCAGGAGGCATTCTGATCAGATGCCTGAGCCACCTCAACTGGCCCCTCTCGATGTGGAGGAGCAACTCTGGGCCCCTCCAGGATGACCGAGTTTCTCACCCATCTCTAAGGAAGAGCCCAGCCACCCTGCTGAGAAAACTCGTTTTCGGCCTCTTCAATCTGCGATCTCATACTTTCTGTCACTACCCAAAGCTTGTGACCATAGATGAAGGTGACAACATAGATCAACCGATAAATCAAGAGCTTTGCCTTCTGGCTCAGTTCTCTCTCACCACGACAGACCGGTACAATGCCTGCATCACTGCAGACGCAGCACCAGTCCACCTATCGATCTCACGCTCCATTTTTCCTTCACTCGTGAACAAGACCCAGAGATAATTAAACTCCTCCACTTAGGGCAGGACCTCATTCCTGACCTGAAGAAGCCATTATACCCTCTTCTGATTTAAGACCATGGTCTCAGATTTAGAAGAGCAGATTCTAATCCCAGCTCCATGGGCAACAGATTATAAAATATTTTTTATAATTTGGATTTATTTTGAATCAATTATTTATAAGTATTCATTAGAAATGTGCGTGATTATTTAATACTATATAAAGTGAAAATTTAAATCTCAAATGAGGTCCTGCCCTAAGTGGAGGAGTTTAAGTATCTTGGGATCTTGTTCACGAGTGAGGGAAAGAAGGGGTGATTATTCTGTAATTGGGCAGAAATCTACTTCAGATCTTCACCCACGCTGGGTTTATCTCCTCCTTTTCCTCTTCTGCACCACAACGATTACATCACTCACTCTTTCACTGGCATCCCGCTACCCGTCAGGAACCAGTCGATGCTCCACCCGGCATCGACCTTTCACCTCTCCTCCTGGCCTACTGTATTTACCCCCTTGCTCTGCTCCGCCCCCACTCTGGGCTGCTCAGATAAAATCATGTCAAACTCACTAAATCACTTTATTCATTTATCCTTTTTAACTTTGACTCAAACTGGATTAAAATTCCAGTTGGATTAAACAAACATTCACTCTAATTTTCCCTTATATCATGTAGCTCCTTGTGCATGCGAGGGATCACATTGAATTAATCATGTAATCACTCCTCGTGTTCACATGAATCTGATCCAAGAGGAGAGGAACTCCTGGTTGGAACCGAACGGCTCCAGAGTCAGACCAGGACATGCATCAGTATCCATTAACCCTGTCTGGTGTTGAGCGGAGCAGGAAGAGTCTGAGGTAATAAAAGTAACAGCTCATTTTGGATTAACCTCCACCAGCATGCTCAGAACCATGAGCTGAAGCAGAAGACTCGCCTCTGTTTTATGGACAGAAACAGAACTTTTATTTGTTCAGCGAGTCATAAACGAATCACGGTTAGACTTTAATCCTGACCTGGAGCGAGTTACCGATTCCTCTTTGGGTTTATGATCATAATTTGTAGCTGATCCACTTTGTGCTGCAGAGCTTCCTCCAGAGCTTGCTCCAGAGCTATTAGATCTTTATTTTTGGAGCCGTTGTGAAGTGTTTCTACGTCAGCAGCTTCCTGAGCACTTCTGATCCTCAAGGCCCACCATATCAAATAGAATGGAATGGAATGCCTTTTATTGTCACTATACACAAGTACAATGACATTAAAAGCAGCTCCTTCAGTGCAGTCAAACACATAATATAACAATAAATGAACAAATGGTGCAAAGTTGTCCTATATACATGGAAAGTACAGTCTTTGCCATTAACACATAGATATTGGATATTGCACAGATTTATGGGTTGAAGGGAGACATGAGGTTAGGTGTGGTGTTGCTGCATGTATGCTTCAGCACTGACTCAGCATGTCATAAAGTTCTGCAAAGACTTATTAAAGACCAGTTCTTCCAAACCAGGTTCTTTGAAGCAGAAGAAAAACAAGCATCTGAAACAAGCAAGATATCAGCTCTTGTGTGGCTAGCTGCTAGCAAGGAGTTTACCTCTGAGTCCAAAAACAAACATTTCAGAGCTGTTCCTTTAAAATTTAGAAAATAGATACAATTTAAAAACTGTTCTTTTATTTTTTTCTTTATTTTTTATTCTTTAATCTTTTTTTAGAATTTATATATTATTTCAAAATTTTATGATACTTTTTAATCATGTTTAAAAATATTTTTTATTTTAATTTTCATTCTTGTGAAGCGCCTTGTGATTTTTATCTTGAGAGGCGCTATTTAAAAGATTTCTTCTTCTTCTTCTTCTTCTTCTTCTTCTTCTTCTTCTTCTTCTTCTTCTTCTTCTTCTTCTTCTTCTTCTTCTTCTTCTTC